TATTTTCTGCCATTCTATCATTCCAATGTGAATTTTTGGATGGATACTCAAATTTTCTTCTCTCCCTTGTTGACAGCTTTGTCGTTTTGCTCAGGTAGATTTTTTTTTTTTTTTTTTTTGCGGTATGCGGGCCTTTCACTGTTGTGGCCTCTCCCGTTGCGGAGCACAGGTTCCGGACGTGCAGGCTCAGTGGCCATGGCTCACGGGCCTAGCCACTCTGCACCATGTGGGATCTTCCTGGACCGGGGCATGAACCCGTGTCCCCTGCATCGGCAGGCAGACTCTCAACCACTGTGCCACCAGGGAAGCCCTCAGGTAGATTTCTTATCATCAGGTCCTTTTATTGAGTTTTTCATTTTTTTCTATCATATTCCTAATTTCTGTTTTGTAATCCTTGCCTGTAGTATTCTATTCTTGACAAATGAATGCAGCATCTTTTGATATATATAGATATTAATTTATTTTTGAAGTTTTCTCCCTGTGTAGTCTGTTGCTTTGTGTTTTTTTTTTATTTCTGTCTTCCATCTTAGACTCTTAGACTTTTCTTAGTTGCCTTTCTCTTCCTTGCCTGACTGTATATAATATGTTGTGGAAGAGTAAAAAGTTGATTAGCATATCTAAATTTGTCAGTTTTGGACTTCATTATAGAGGCTGATCTGGGTGGGCTGTTTTTGGAGAGCTCCCAAGACCTTAAGGCCTTGTGTCTTGTGCTTGTTAACTACCCTCAGAGAGTAGTCTTACATTTTCATACATAGTAAGGATCGGATTGCTAGCATTCTGGGAGATTAATGGAGGAAGAGGATTGGATTCTCTTCAGTGAGCACTCAGTCCGTCTTTTTGGTATGCTACTCTCATTTTTAACTGTGGATATTGTTTTCAGACCTCTGCTAGGATTGGGGAGAGCAGGCATTCAGTGGAATGTGATGAGGGACATCTAGGGTATCTTACTGCTTCACAAACAGCTTTCACTGGTATTCTCTTTTTTAGTCATACAATCCTACTATTTGCTCCCTTCACCCCAATTTCCAAAGTGCTTAGTTCTTCTAGTTTCTATGTCTTTTCAAGTTTCTGCCATGTAAATCAAACTGGTTCTTAATTTATCCCCAATGCAGCTTAGAATATAGTGTTTTGGGAACTGCTGACTTAGTTACCAGTGGTTCTGCTTATTTTCCAGCTCCGCAAATCATGTAGCTATTGTCCCTTTTACTTTTCTCTTTGTTCTTGAGGATTTATGCCTTCAAAAAATACCTCCACTGTAGTTTTAGTGGGATTTGAGGGAGTGAAGTTAGGTGTTTTCAGTTTATCATCTTAGTAACCTTCTAATGTTCCTTTTCTCTTTTTATATATATATATATATATATATAATGTTGATAGTAATTTGTGTAATTAAAGTGTATTAACTAAATTAATGAAAAGTGTATTTACTTTCTACTTAATACGCTGAAACCATTTTTTTAGGTTCCTAGGTTCCATGGAATTTTCAATATTCTGCATGTGCAAAGTTTTTTTTTCTCTTTTTAAAAAAAAATTTATTTATTTATTTATTTTTCGTTGCATTGGGTCTTCGTTGCTGAGTGCAGGCTTTCTCAAGTTGCTCCAAGTGGGGGCTACTCTTTGTTGTGTGTGGGCTTCTCACTGTGGTGGTTTCTCTCCTTGAGGAGCGCGGGCTCTAGGGCACGTGGACTTCAGCAGTTGTGGCTCGTGGGCTCTAGAGCACAGGCTCAGTAGTTGTGGTGCCTGGCCTTAGTTGCTCTGTGGCATGTGGGATCTTCCCGGACCAGGACTCGAACCCATGTTCCCTGCACTGGCAGGCGGATTCTTAACCACTGCGCCACCAGGGAAGCCCCAGAGTTTTCTAATAGTGTGATATATGATATATAAAAAGTGTAGTAGTTGACTAAACTTAATTCTCCTATAGTTCTTTTTCATTACTACTTGTGTGACCCCTGGCAAATGATTACATTCTCTGGTCGTGAAAAATTTGAGATTATAGCACTATTATTTTACATGGTCATTGTAAGAGTGAAATGAAAAAATTATATGAAAAGGGCTAGTTTTATTTAGGAAGAGGTAAAACATTGAGTAATCATGGAGATGTTTACCTTACATTAGAAATGCCTTCCAAATGTGTTTTGCTTTCACAAATAAGCAATGATTGGGTTTTCTGACTAACCCTTCCAAAACCAAATTTCTTTTAACCTATGACATTATATAATCAAGCTGTACTCTTTCTTAGTAATGTTAAAAACTTTTTAAAGTAAATAATATATTTCTATAATTTTTATAGACATTTTTCAGACTTTATTCTAACACATATTAGCTCCTATGTAGTGCCTCTAAAAACACTTTAAAAACTGAAAAATGCCCTGCAAAAGGTATTTTTTTCCACCTTGGGTTTTGAAGTACAGAGCTGTTTAGGTCAAGACTAAAAACTTAGCTGACTTCTTCTTCTTGCTAGAAAGTAAGAGTTGAGATCCTAAAAATGAAGGTTCCTAAGGATGTAGAATTTTCGGAGATTTTTGTGGTAGAAATGCAAACACAGGGAATTACTTTCAACTCACCATCTATTGAGCAAATACTATTTCACACTATGAAAGTGAGTGGAAAGTGAATTAAGTTGTTTCTGTCCTTTAAGAACTCATATATAAAGATATAAATAGTGAAATATGCTAAGTATAATGATGGTATATATAAAAGACCTTGAGAGAGCAATTACACCTGGTTTGTGGGTTGGGCATAGTAAGGGGAAAGGAGAGCAAGGAAGAGATTGTCAGTGATAAGATAATTTAGGTTGAATCATGAGTAGGGTTTATTGGGTGAACCGGGATAGTCTCTTTGGGATAAAGAGTGAATGAAACATTGGCAGTGACACCACTTACCTGACTAACAGCCTAACCGTTATTCTTTCCTAAGTTGTTTCCGTGATGCACAGAAACAGAACCAGTGTGGGAAGGGACAGACAAAGCTCCAGTAGGCTTGGGCTGAGTGTAGTCTAGGATGTATTTTAGCTATTAGCACTTTCGCGAAGTTATTTAATTTTTGAGCATGTTTCCTCGATCACGAATTGGAGATAAAACCTATCTTGTAGGGTTAATGTGAGAATTAGTTTAAACAATGTATATAAAAACTTATATGAAGGCTTGATTTATATTAATGGACTTCCCTACTCCTTTGTCTTCTAAAGCCCCTTGCATGAAATAGGCAATCATTATATTGATTTGACTTATGTGCCTTGGGATAATAGAGAGGATATAGTAAATTAGTAGTAAAATGATTGTAGTGGCTGGAGGAGGATTGGTATAAGGAGGGAACTTAGATTATGTCTCTTATTTTGAAGTCTAAATTGGGTGAAAAGGTAGATCTTATAGCCAATAGCCAGCATCTTAGCTTGCCCGGGAAAGCTTAGACTGAGAAAAAAGTATTTAGTATTTACATTGGAAGGTGTCTGGAGAGACGGGGGAGGCTGAGGGAGGTGTGGGGAGCACCGCACGTTTGAAGGTATATTACATAATTTAAACCTTTGTGGAACAGGCTTCCGAAAGAATCTGCTTTTTGAATATCAGCTGCTCTTCATCAGGCAGCTCTAAATGTTTTGGTTGGTTGTCTCTCCGTTAACCTTAGCCACATTCTAGTGCTCCAGTAATGTCTATCCTGTTCGAATCTTTCCCAGTTTACCTCTTGCTTTTAACAAATAGATTCGAGCCACCCTCAGAGAATCCATTATATTTTTGAAGAATTAATGTGGCTTAGATCAACTATAAACTTTTTTTTCCCTCATACAGTACTTAAAGCAGTTTACGTTATCTGGTTTACCTCAGGGAGAATAAATAAAGACTTTTTAAAAGCTGAGTATTTTTTTTAACTTTTATTATGGAAAAATTTCAAATATATACAGAAATAGAATGAAATAATGAGCTCCATGTGCCCATCACTCAGCTTGAACAATCATCAATTTATGGGGCCAGTCTCCTTTTTGCTGTACCCCTACCACCCCCTTACACCCTTAACGTGTTTTAATAAATACCTACATCTAGTGGTGGATAGAGACAAAACAGCACAAGGCAGCTAAATTTTAGGATGGTGAACCAAGTAAGACAAAAGGAAAAGATGGATTTCCTAGCTGATGTGAGCTATCAAGCAGACAGGTTCTTTCTGTGCTTTTGTCCTTCTCTTGATGGTTGGTTACTGTTAAAACAAATTTGTCTTCTTAATACACCCACTTTCAGACTGAATTTTATTCTTTTGTTCTTCCTATTTGTTCTTTCCCCCGGGGGTGTCTACATTCTTTATTTTATTTGCTTTTCACCCATGTCAGAATGTTGGGAGGTCTGAGTCACGGCATGAAATTTAATTTGCCCTGAGACCAACCACTCACCTGGAGATGTCTTTGTGACCATCTGGACTACAGAAGAGAAGAAATTGTTTTTTATCTTTATGGCAGATTACTCAAAATAAGCTTTGTTGCCACTGTAGCTCTAATGTCTCTAGTCTTCCCCAGCAGTTATTTAAAATTATTGTCAAGATTCAATGATTTGATTGCAAGCTTTAACCATTCGGCTAGATTTGAGCACTTTGGGGCTTAGATTCTGTGGGAAAAACCTTTAATTAGCCTTCTATAAATGGAAATTGATGATCAGGATTTAAACAACTTAACTTTCTAGAAATTATAAAAATTGGCACTCTTTTTATGTAAAAAGTACTATAAAAGAGTAAAAAAAAAAAAGGACCTTGAGCATAGTTTGACTTTTTTTTTTTTTCTGGACTGAAATGGAGGCTTTCTTTCAAGCAAATTCCCTGATGTTTGCTGTGTGTGATTTGGCTCTATCTCTGTAACTGCTAATATGTGGCATGGACTTCAAGCTGTCTGGGATCAGGATGTGCCCAAACTCTGTATTGCAAGTCGGGATTCACAGGCATTATGTTACAAAACTGGCTTGCTGCCTTCTCTGTTTGCTGTGTTGTGAGTAGCTGCATTGTTCGTTGCAGTATATGCATTAGCTGTTGTCAGTGTTCAGTTTCCTGCAGGCTGACAAAGTGGGAGGGGCTTTGTTTGATACATAGCTGAGTTTCCACTGTGTGAGTTCTTGAGTGCACACTGGAGCCATCTTAATTACACTTTAGTGCAACTGAGACAGTGCAGCTGTCTCAAAATGGCTGCTAACCTAGTCTTTGTAGCTGCTTAGGCAGCTACTATGCCACTGAGGAGGTTTGTCACATGCATCAGGACCAGAGGTAAGAACCACATTACTCTTTATCTCTGAACATTTTAATTAAAAAACATTTGAATTTTACTAAGTTTATATAGGAAGGCGAACTAAGAGCTTGCTTGCTAAGAAGTTGAAATGTTTGCTGATAGAACATTGAAGCCTCTGTTATGGAAACAGTACATAGGATGGTGAGGTCAAAGGTTAAATTCCTGTAATTTCTCACTGTCTTTTATGTTCTGACATTGCCAGAACAATTGATCACCACAGTAGTGCTTTTCTGGCCCTGATTAACTTAATGTTCCTTTTATGTTGGATATTTTAGTTTGCTTGATATTTATTTGTAGAAATTAAAAACAATATATTATCTCAGTAGATTTTTTTAAAAAGAAGCCATAAGTAAGCCGTGTTTTGCATGAAGATTGTGATTTTTCTGTGTGTGTGTGTGTGTGTGTGTGTGTGTGTTTTGGAGGTATTGTTTGGTAGCTTTCTGGGAAGAATGTTAATTCTCTGGATGTAAATCACAGTTACAAAAATAAACAAATTTTTAACATTGTTAGATTTTTTTTTTTTTTTTTTTTTAACTGGGTTTCAGTTCTTTCTCATTATGCTGCCTCCTCCCAGCCATCCAATTTTTTCACATTTTTGATGGGGCTAACTTTTCATCCTAACTATTTTTTGCTTAAATTGGCATTCAGATTCAGATTTTGAATTTAGAAATAATTCACATCTTCTAGGTCTGGATACCCTTCTTCTTTGTATCTAATGTATGCTTATACAACAGGGCTGAAGTAAATCTCGGTTTTTTAGTTAAGTGATATGAACTGTTGATGTCCACCTTATCTTAGTTAAAATCTGTGATATATTTAAAAGTAATGACTCAATAATTTTGTAAATTTAGTTTCAAAATTTTCAAAAAGCTTTCTTAACATTGTTCTGAAGTATCAATAGAAAAGTTTATTGAGATATTGTAAGTCCATAGTGACCCAGAAAGTAGGAGAATGAAATTTTTATTCACGTATTATTTCAGATAGCAGAACAGTTAGTTATAATTAAAGCACTGATGTTTGGATCGCAGTACTTAATAAAATTTTTTCTAAGTAGTATTGTGCATTCCTCTAGCTTTGTCAATAGAGTATTATGAATATATCCCTGACTAATATGACATAGAACAGTAAGTTTTGATCTTTCTGAATACAGAAACTTTTAAAAGACAGCAACTTTTTGCACCTTAAATTCTTATGAAGGACCCCAGAATATTAAAGGGATATATGTATGGTATTTTTTTATTGTGTAATTATTTTATAATGTAAAATTATAACATTTACTTATTAATTTTCTTAATAAAATGAGAACAATTAGGCTGTTACGATGAAAATAAAGGTTTGAAACCAGATCATGTATGACAGTTATGATCTTATTATTAGTGTCAGGATCTAGGTCACTTAATTGTAGACATCCAGGCGCTAAGGGACTATGGAATTCAGTTTGAGAAGTATTCTAGAACATATATTCTTCATGTTCTTTTTTGACTTACAAATTTTCATGAAGGTAGTATATAAGTTCTATATTTACATGATTTAACAGTTTAAAATTGCTGCCTTGCCCCAAAATTGTGTTTTTACTTGTTCTTATTTTAAAATTCTTTTAGCAACATTATTGTTTTTCCTAAGTTAATCAGTATTTATTTGTTCGGTGGCCTAAATGTTTTTGGAATAATTAGCTCAGTTTTATCAACAGCTGTAGTATGCTTATTTTACTTCCATTAACTTATTACTTTGTGACATTGTTAGGACTATTTTATGTGATATAATGGATTCTCATAATCTGAACATTTCTTTATGTAAATGTATATAGGAGCTTGCTCCTGAAAGGGAAAAAGAATAACAAATCCAATATGCATGACAAATCCAATATATGTGAGAGGTTCTATCCATCGTGCATTTCACTTCAGTAAGGTTGTGCCCTAGAGTGAGTATGACATAGGGAAGTGAATGTGCTGTGACTCTAATCACTCTTATTTTTTTTGCCTCTCATAGTATGAACAGCTCACTGGATTTCAAAAATTGCATACCATGTAAACCAGCTACTTGGTTTGATATTCTTTATTGCTGGAGAGAAACTGGGCGGGTTGAAATTATTGATCAATTTATGTTAACCTTCAGAGTAGGACCTCAGGGAAATTTTAATGATCCATTCTTCTTGCCTTCTATTGTGGACTGTAATATTTACATTCACCCTCCCCTCCACAAGATGAATCCACTGATTATTACTTATACATGGGGAAACACCAACACTCTGTGTTTACTCAGGATGTTATTGCTAATTCTTTCAGTGCCATGTTGCATTTTTGCAACTATAAACATAAACTAGACCTCACTGGGATTATTACTTTTGGGGTTGGTGACAGTTTTCAAATTTTCTATGCTGAATTCCAGGTTAGCTATTATGCTGAATAATTGAGGGCATAATAAATCTGGGTGCTGGGTAATTGAGATGTTATGTTATTATTTTGTCACTTCTTGTCCTCCCCATTTGTTTACCCTTTTTCACAAGCCATTTCACTAGCATAAACCTTTAAGAGAGATGTTGAGGTAGTGAAAAGAACACTGACCAAGAGTTCAAATCAAAATTTGAATTCTGTTTTTGCTACCCTTTTCTTATATTGGCCATCCATTTTCTGACTCTCATTTCCTTATGTACAAAATGGAGGAAAAAAATCCTGTCTATTTGGCAAGGATATGTTGATGATTAGTTTATATAATGTTTCTGAATAGTACCAGGAAATACCCTTTTTCACAAGCCATTTCACCAGCATAAACCTTTAAGAGAAATGTTGAGGTAGTGAAAAGAACACTGACCAAGAGTTCAAATCAAAATTTGAATTCTGCTTTTGCTACCCTTTTCTTATATTGGCCATTCCATTTTCTGACTCTCATTTCCTTATGTACAAAATGGAGGAAAAAAATCCTATCTATTTGGCAAGGATATGTTGATGATTACTTTATATAATGTTTCTGAATAGTACCAGGAAATACTCTACAAATATCTGGCATGCTAATTTTCCAGTAGTATTTGAATGCTCTTCAGTTTCTTTGCTTCTCAGATGTCATATACTTTATCAAATGTGATTGGATCAGGGAATGTGGTATGTTTAGAAAGAATGGGAAATTTCTCATAGAACTCATGCTCAGAAGCAAGAAGTAGCAAGAAGCAGAACTCAGGCTTAGAAGCAAGAAGTAATTACCAAGCATCCACTTGGTAATTGATATATTCATGTTTGCACTCCTGGGTTCTACTCTGTTAAATAAATTAGCCATCCTTTGCTGTATGTGGGTAGTGGCAGATGTGTTTATTAAGTAAAGCCAATATAGAATGTTGTCATTACAGAATCAGAGTAGGAGAAATGTTTCAGTTCTAGTCTGGCTGAGTAGTCCAAATATGCAGTGAGAAAATAACTTCTCTAAAGGGATGATGTGAATTCAGGGCCTAGAGTTTTATATGTTTCAGTACAAATGAAAGTCTTTACAGTATAGTTCTCTTTCGCTGGCCACAAACTGGCAGCCAGCAGACTTCTTTGGTCCTTTAACCACTGCCGTATTTCTCTAGTTAACATTTAAAGTGGTCAGATTTTACACAAAAATCTGCATGTCTCATCTTTCAGAAAATAGAATATTGGGCAGTGCTAGAAATGCATTTTTGCTTGAGAAAAATAACCTACAGTTGAGTAGCTACTGTCTCCTTCAGATAGGGCCTACTCCACACAGCTGGTCCTCTTCATTGATTCTGGGCCCCTGAGAGCTGTTCCTTTTCAATCCCTATTCTACTTACTTGACAGATTGTTGGCAACCTTTAATATCTAAAATACAGCTTCTCATCCAGAAGAAAGTAAACATAAGTAAAATCTAACCTACTTCACTTGGTAGGAGAGAGAGCGTATATAAAGTCAGCTTACTCTTTAGAGATACGGCACATTGCTAACGTTTTTCTTGTCCTGATTTTTATATTAGAGTACCATTGGTGGCTGATTGAAGGAGATCCAGTGACAACAGGAAAAACTGACAATTGGTTGAAAGTGAGGCGATTAAAAAAATACAAACTAGAAACATACAAGTTCCTTGAGGTCTTTTAATGTGGTAATAAATTCTCATTTCTTTACATGTTATCACTATTAAAGACATCACTATTTGTTGACTTGATGTTCATAGTGATGATATTGAATAAAAAAATGTTAAATTATATTCAAGATGTGCAGTTTCCTGAACAGGTAAATGAAATGAGCTTTATAAAAGATTTTTGCCTAAATTGATTGAGCTAAGAAATTTTAGCACTTAAAATGAGTAAGTTCCTAAAAGAAAGTGTTCTTAACTGCACTAGACTAGATAATTTCAGAGGCTGTTATTTTTGTTAAAATATCACTCCTGTTTACAAAACATTGACCATCTCAACTACGTGAAGACTACCTTCATGATCCGTGAAACGTTGGCGGTGTATAATAATGATCTGATTTAAATTTGAATTCCACATTTTCCAGAGTAAAAGCCAGCTTCTTAGCATTCATGTAATACCATGACATAGGTAACTCTAGGGAAGTGCTAAAAGAAATTTACTCATTTTTGGAAAATGGCTTTCAAATTAGAGAGAAAGCTTTAGCGAAAATTGAAAAACCGGTTAACTTGCATAGGAAACACTGATGGGCTCCCCTGTCTTCCACTTCTTACACTCCCGAAAGAGAAAGTGATTTGGGAGAAAGCTTAAAGTTTATTCAAAGAAGGGATTTTTAATAAATTGTTCAGGTTAGAACTTTCACTAAGTGTTCTCATTAGTAATTTGTAACAGTCTGTTATTGGACATCAATGTGTGAATATGGAGATGATGAAAATAGTGCTTATTGACTCAACGAATCTTTGAGTTTAATGAAGGAGGGAGTTTTCTTTGACTTTAATGAAGGGGAGAGTTTAACACCAGAGAAAAGAGTTGCTTCTGCATCTTCCTGAGGGCTTCTACCTTCCCTGCTGAAGTAAACCA